AACTAGATTTTGTTAACATCATAATTTTTTTTTTCTGCAAGGACATGGTGGTCACTTGAACGATAATCTCCCCTCTGCAACTAGGTCACGTTTCATTCATAATTTTTTTAGACTTGTCTGCTGTCCGGGGGACTACGAGTTGCCGTTACGTTTTTCCTTTCTGGCTTGTCTTGTAAATACATGTTTCCTCCGAGAAAGAGAATATCTGTGACATAAATTGCAGCACTCTATAGGAGGTTTGTGTGTTGGACCAGGTTTCTATATTGTGTGTGTGTGTGTGTGGGTAGTGTTAAAAGCACTGGCGTGCTCAAATTTACAACCCGCGATATCAACAATTCTCCCCCCCCCCCCCTCTCCCCTAGCAGTGTGCGAAGGTCAGTTGACTGAAGGTGGAGCAATCAGAACTGAGCTACTGTGTAGCGTGCGGAGATTATCGTAGAACTGACCCGACAGGATTATTAACAAGTAGCATGCCAAAGTTCAACAAAATACACCGAACGGTTACGGAGTTACACTTGTATACAGGTAGGCACAACTTTTGGAATGCACTTTAATAGAACAACCAGAGACGTAGCCAGATTAGGAAGCTAGGGAATAGGAGCGTTTTAAAAGGCACCTGGACATATCTATCAAATTGGCGAAAATTACAGTTTGTAGGTCACTTTACATTGATAACTTTGTTGGATTGGTCTACTGTGCTGGTGGTTACGGGTGTGCCGCTTTGTTGTTTGCTATCTGTATTGTCTTGCATTCACGTTTTTATTCCGAAAAACAAAATGCCTGTGACATAGGTTTTATCACTCTCTAAAGGGGTTCTGGGTTAGACCCAGTTTGTCGATGTTCTTGTAGTGTTAAAATCCCCTTTCTTAAATCACCCCTATCAACGCCACTGAGAACTCACAGAGATCAGTTTTACTTTCAGATCTCATGACCTCCTTGCGTTCACCGGCTGTAGAGTCCAGGCGGAGAGCCCTAGGTCTTCGTCCATCTCAGTTTTGTTTCAGAACCTGAGTGTTGCGTGAACATCCGTTTCCCAGATTTGGTTTCTAAGTACGCAGACTCTTGGTTCCTTGCCTGTCAAAAGATGCCTTTAATTGGTCGACCGCTACGGCATTCCTGTTGTGAAGGCAGAGGGCCTGTTCTTGTTTTTCCCACAATAAGGCCATGGAACCCACACAGTGACACAATGGAAGCATGAAAGCGAATTCCTTGTCTGGGTTCCGAGAACGTATAGTGGGGAAAACAAGAATATACCCACTGCTTCCCTAACAAGCAAATCGTAAGAGTTGACAAATCGTAATTTGTTGTTGTTGTTATTGTTGTTGTTGTTTAAGTCAGGGTGCATCTACAAGGAACCAGCAGTCTCCATAAATATCAGTCAGATCTGTAAAACGAATGTGCAGGCAACAGTCACGTTTTTGAACAAGTCTAAGGTCCGGAGTTGATTAAACAACCATAACTTTTCCCCGGAGTTCACAGCCGGTGAGTCGAAGAAAATTAAAGCAAGTGTTTCCACGCTACAATATTTTTTTCTCTCTCTCATTAGCAGGGTATGGAAATGATTTATATTGGAAGGAATAAAATTGGGAAAGTAATGGAACCCTCTGAGTAGAGTGAATTGCAGTGTACATGAGCTTCCCACGAAGCACGAATTCCGTAGCTCTAAATACGAATATGAAGAAGATAAACTGGTCCATCAGAACGACTAGGGATGCCCCTTTGGCATGACTGGGTGGCTTTCCGTAGTACTGTGATGAGGTCGATGTTCTCCAAATCTGCTTTACTTTGGTATAATGATCACAAATTTTTTGTTTAGACCCCATTAAAGTCGTGGGTTTCAATCCGCGCCGACCCGCTTTTTTTTTTTAAACACATGACTTTGGCTCCGAGATCGACACAGCCTTAAATGGATACTTTCTTGGAAGTAAAGGCAGCTATGCTGACCACATCTCCAACCGAGTGCCGATTGGTCTAAAATATATGCCTAGCACTATGTGCCTGATCGAATCAAAGCTACCATGGTGTAGCGGCTAGTCGCTCGTCTGTGGATCCGAAGGTGGTGGGTTCGGGTCCACACAGAGCAGGACTTTTTGGAAAATGACCTTGGCTCCCAGGTCGACCTAGTCTTAAATTAGTACAAAGTAATTACCTGGGAAGTAAAGTGGGACCATCTTGCTGTTGAACACATCCCCCAGTGAGTACCGATTGGTCTGAAAATAAAGGCTTAGGACCATAAGCTCAATTACACCTCTACTAGTTAAAGGCTTGTTATTTACTGAACTTTGCAGAACCAATCCTTGTATTTTGTTTTTGGCTGTTGTGGTTTTCTAGGCAATGTTTCTTTCAGTAGTTTGTCATTGCTTTCTAGACGGTCAGTGCTTAGTACCACTGTCGAAACCAGCGCAAGACTGGGATCGGACCCAGAACCCCGGCATTACGAAGCTCGTTCGCAACGCCTAAGCCACAGACGCCGACCAATTCCGCCTTAAGGCGTGAAAAGAGTCCTTAACTTTATGCACTTAAACAAGACTTATGTTTACTGAAGCACTGCACAGACAATTTGTGAGAAGTGCGAGCTTCCTCGTTCTCCATTTTTTTCCTTTTTTCTCTCACCCACCTCTAAACCCTTTTCCTCACCCACCTCTAAACCCTTTCCCTCACCCACCTTTAAACCCTTTCCCTCAATCACCTATGAACCCTTTCCCCCACCCACCTCTAAACCCTTTCCCTCAATCACCTATGAACCCTTTCCCCCACCCACCTCTAAACCCTTTCCCCCACCCACCTCTAAACCCTTTCCCCCACCCTCCTCTAAACCCTTTCCCCCACCCACCTCTAAACCCTTTCCCCCACCCACCTCTAAACGATTTCCCTCACCCACCTCTAAACCCTTTCCCCCACCCACCTCTAAACCCTTTCCCCCACCCACCTCTAAACCATTTTCCTCACCCACCTCTAAACCCTTTCCCCCACCCACCTTTGAACTCTTTCACTCACCCACCTCTAAACCATTTCCCCCACCCACCTCTAAACCCTTTCCCTCACCCACCTCTAAAACATTTCCCTCAATCACCTCTAAACCCTTTCCCTCACCCACCTCTAAACCATTTCCCCCACCCACCTCTAAAACATTTCCCTCAATCACCTCTAAACCCTTTCCCCCACCCACCTTTGAACTCTTTCCCTCAATCACCTCTAAATCATTTCCCTCACCCACCTCTAAACCCTTTCCCCCACCCACCTCTAAACCATTTCCCCCACCCACCTCTAAACCATTTCCCCCACCCACCTCTAAACCCTTTCCCCCACCCACCTCTAAACCATTTCCCTCACCCACCTCTAAACCCTTTCCCCCACCCACCTTTGAACTCTTTTCCTCAATCACCTATGAACCCTTTCCTTCACCCACCTCTGAACCCTTTCCTACCCTTGACCCTGACAATTTTATTCAGGCGCACGCCTGTTGCCATCACACCACTATGCCGACGGCTTTACAGTTGTCCATGTATCCAGTTACCTCAAAGTTACCTACCAATCCGGAAACGCAGACCTCCAAAAATACCCAGAAATCGTCCAACTTACGGCTGTCCCCACTAAAGAATGTATCCGATGATACTTACAGGACAAGTCTTCGAAAAAAAAAAAAAAAACTAGTTGAGCCGCTGACGGAATTATGTGTCGGCTGGCGCCCTGGAAGCCGGATGGATTTGACTGGGTCTCGTCCATCTTCATTATCTCATGGTTAACATTCATTTTAATGACGCTAGGTTTGTGATGCATCGGTTAACATTCATTGTTAACTTCATTGACTTGCTACTGAATGTTGCAAAGATGTGAATGAAGAAGTGATCGACGACATCCGTAAAGATAGCTTTAAAAAAAAAAGTAGTAATAATAGCTGAGTTTTTCCTGTCTTGCACATTTTATCTTGTCGTTTATTATTCTCTTGATTTGGGGCGAAAAAGGAGGAAGGTTGGGGGCGGGGGGGGGGCGGGGAGGAGGAACCGCGAAACAATAGGGTAAAAGTGAAAAAGTAAGCGTCAGAACCTTTCTGGCACAGTTTTACTTTTTTTTTTTTTTTTTTGCGTATCCTTTACAGGACGTTGGAGAACCAACCACAGTATTTTTTGGCTGTTGTGGTTTTTCTATTCGAATTTTACGTTCCGTAGTTTGCCATTGTTTTTAAACGGTCAGCTCTCGGTGAGACTGTCGAAACCAAAGTGAGACAAATCGTCTACAGCTCGGATTTTCTTCTTCTTCTTTGCGTTCGGTTTCGTATGCTTAGTTCAGACCATCAGGTGGGTTGCCTCTATGAACTCGCGTATCAGTAGCAGGTCCTTTATCGTTCCCTATAGTTTGCTCATCTCGGCTTTGTGGCTAAGTCGGTGCAAACGCTTCGTAAAGCCGGGATACCGGGTTCGATCCCAGCTGCGGGCCATGCGCCTTGCGTTGGTTTCGACAGTGGTATCAAGAAAGCCGACCGCACAGAAAGCAGTGGCAAACTACTGGACGTAAATTTGCCTAGAAAACCCACACAACAGCCAGGGGCTGTTGGGGTTGGTTCTGCAACGTCCTGTAAAGGATACGCAACTAACCTGTAGTTTGCTCTGCACACTTTGCTCTTCAGCTGAGATGTCTGTTGGGGTTCTTTGCTCGAAAACAAAGGTTGTGACGTTCATCCAGCATCCTCTAGGGGCAGCTTTAGTTTATAGTTAGGTTATAATTGAGACTGGCGTGTGTGCGCCATATAAAATTGCTTAGCACTTTACACCACCAATAACCATGAACAGGACTCCTGCAATGTTGAAGCGATCAAAGGAGACAGACCAAAATACTGTCTCGACCGGCGACGAAGTCGTCTACCGGCGAGCCATTGTGGTTGCCGATGATTACCATATCCCTTGATAAAATACCTTTCTTTCAACTGCACTCACAATTTCATTTTATGCGACACCCTAATGAATTAATTACCTCTAAAGTAACATATTATTTACGTCTACATGTCTTCAACCTGTCAGAAATAATCTGGCAGTGTATCACGTTTGTAGACATCCTGTTCGTGTCAAATCCTTGCTACACAAATGTCGTTATCTAGGATCGGTTGGGGCTCTAGATAAATCGTTCGTGTGTCATAGACATCATATATTTTTTGGCAAGAGAAAGGTGTAGTTTTTTTTTAGTACGAATCGACTCATCATACGTGTCTGGGTAGACCAGTGGCGACGTAAAGGTCACATCGCACGTGTAAGCGTTTGCTGGTAACGGACTATGCATCATCGATTCGCTGGTTGGAATATGCATTCGCAGTCTGCATTGTAAGGTTTTGTAACTGGTAGCTTTCACGCGTTTTGTACAGTTCTGAACTTGTTGCGTGGGCATCCAGCGAAGGTTCTTTTGGCGGTGTTTGTAAACAATATTAATAATAATATAATGTTGTTTCTGGGGTAGGCCATGTAACTAGCTGTACCCAAGACACACAGTCTGGGCTAGGCCAGATCCCTAGCTGTACCCAAGACACACAGTTTGGGGTAGGCCATATCTCCAGCTGTACCCAAGACACACAGTCTTGGCTAGGCCATATCCCCAGCTGTACCCAAGACACACAGTCTAGCTAGGCCACATCCCTAGCTGTACCCAAGAGACACAGTCTGCGCTAGGCCATATTCCTAGCTGTACCCAAGACACACAGTATGGGCTAGGCCATATCCTTAGCTGTACCCAAGACACACAGTCTGGGCTAGGCCATATCCCTAGCTGTACCCAAGACACACAGTCTGCGCTAGACCATATCACCAGCTGTACCCAACACACACACAGTCTGGGCTAGGCCATATCCTTAGCTGTACCAAAGACACACAGTCTGCGCTAGACCATATCCCTAGCAGTACCCAAGACACACAGTCTAGGCTAGGCCATATCCCTAGCTGTACCCAACACACACAGTCTGGGCTAGGCCATATCACCAGCTGTACCCAAGGCACACAGTCTGGGCTAGGCCGTATCCCTAGCTATACCCAAGACACACAGTCTTAGCTAGGCCGTATCCCTAGCTGTGCCCAAGACACACAGTCTGGGCTAGGCTATATCCCTAGCTGTACCCAAGACACACAGTCTTAGCTAGGCCATACCCCTAGCTGTACCCAAGACACACAGTCTGGGCTAGGCCGTATTCCTAGCCGTACCCAGCACACAATCCGAGGTAGGTCATATCCCCATTTGTACCTAAGACACACAGTCTGGGTTAGGCTATATCCCTAGCCGTACCCAGGACACAGAACCCGAGCTAGGTCATATCCCCAGCTGTACCTCAATGACACACAATCCGACAAACTGCATGTTGATATAAAAGCAATTCCCGGTGAGATATCCTCTACGGGAAAAGGTATGATGTCTGTGTTTATCCACGAATGAGGATCTTCTTTTCAGTGCCTTAGACAAGTATTATTTTTAGGGAAAGTCGGGCGAAAAGAAAGGTCTTCAGCGACACGGGATGAAAGGTCAGACCGCTTTAGAAAGTCAAGCTTACGTTTCAGCACGTGCGTTGCTGCGGATAACATTTAGGGGTGCTTACGCTCTAATATCTCAAAGTTGCCAAAATAATAATTTTGGACAGTATTATATGCTAGATGAGAGTCGTAGACTATCTCTCAGTCATTATGGAAGAATATACGGACTTTTAAGCTGAAATGCCATAGAAGGATTCTCAGAATACCACAGACAAAGAATAAAAGAAATCCTGACTTCCTAAAAGATGCGAACATCAAGGAAGATTGGCTAATAAACATCATCTTGTTTAGTCATCCCAAGCGCCTCACTAGTTCGGGGAAAGGGGGATGGGGGGGGGGGGGGAATTATTGCACAAGGTATGGTGCCAGAAATGAGGATCGGTGATGATGGGCATATGCTAAAAGTTACTCATTGAGTATGAAAGTACGTGAACATAGAGAGCTGACGAGAGACCGAGTTTTCTTTTCTTTTCCCCTAGGCAGACCCTGATGAGAGCGACGTTCTGCAAAGGACCTAAGCGTCCATTAGTAATTGTTAATTTTTGTTTCTTCCTCATGTGATTTCAGATTCAGCCTCGTCGCTGATGATCGGGCCTCCACCGATGATCAAAGATGACATAGATCCCAACTGCTGGAACTTCACCTACGGCAACTGGCGCATTCAAGAGTTTTACACACCAAACTACCCCGGCGAGTACCTCAACAACACTGACTGTGTCCTGTACTTGGAAGGTACGTGGTGATTTTCGTTACTTTTTCTATCATCAACAGTTATTTTTATTGTAGTTATTATCATAATTACTATAGTAATAATAATAACTATTTTTTGTGTGTGCGAAGATGACATATTGCACCCTATCTGCTATATCAGCAGAAAGCTCACTCCTGTTGAAGAGAGATACACCACAGCTGAACAAGAATGCCTTGCAGTTGTCTTCTGCATTTCAAAGCTGAAACGCTACCTTCTGGGACGTCCTTTTCTGTTACAATCTGATAACAAACCATTAGTGGTTATCAAGACTGGAGTCCTGAAAAACAACAGAATTGCTCGTTGGGCACTATTGCTTCAAAACTACAAATTTGAGATCAGCCACATCAAAGGTATAGACAACAATTTCGCTGATCTATTGAGTCGTCTATGATGACTATGACGTCAATATCCACAACTGTACTGTACAAGACGGAAACATTTTCGATCTATGATGATTATACAGTATTCAACAACTTTTATTGCAGATCGAAAAGATATATTGTCTCCATGTCTAAAGTCAATGATGCAGTAAACCTACTGCTGATACAAAATTTTCATCAGTTGCAGATTAACAAGATTGCATTCGAAAGTGAAGATAAAGTTATCATGTCTGATGAAATTGTTTCAATATTCTAAATGTTCAACTAGTACAGACATATCAATATCCTATTCAGAAATTAGAAAATAATTTATCCTTTTGAAAATAGTCATCGATGACACCAACAGACACTTCAATATTGTGTTCATCATTTTCCACATCAATGCTTCATCTGATATAATATACAAATACACAAACAGCCAGATAATTAGGTACTGCATCCATAAGCCAACATTGTGAAAGACTCATTAAACCGAGCTTACCTACAGCAAGAACATTTCAGTAACATATTTACTTATCGACTTTGCGCTAGACGTTTCAGGAAAGAACTGTTCATATTGCAGAAATACCAAAAATGTGGCAAAACTAGATGTATCTCCGTCAAGCAATAATGGGAACTCTTACGGTTGCAAGAACTTATCTGATATGACACTCTAAATTTCAAAGGCATCTTTCTAGAATTAAAGGCGAAGTGAATATTCGTTAGAACAATTTACAACTGAAGATTACAATTCAAGGAAACTGAACTCATTGAACACTGAAAGCATTCAAAATTAATCGTTGAAACACACTGGAATTCAAAGTCTTAGGGCAACAAAAGTGGAATCGTCAATTACATGGACCTGGACATCAGCGACTGGATCATCGTTAACTTAGAGTATGACTGATGAATGAATGCAAATTAAAAGTGAATGAAAGGACAGATGACACGTGGGGACTATAGAAATATTCACGTCACTACGATAAATTTATGTTAAATGTGATCATGATCTGATAAATTCAGTTGATTACATACGTTATATTCTATTCGTTAAATGTTATCAATGTTATGTGATCGTGAATTACCATATTATGTGTAAGCCATTACATGTTCTATATGTTATGTGTTAATTGTGATAGTGTAATATGTTTGGTTTGTTACATATTGAAGGTTATACATCTGATTCATCAGATTCATCTTTGATATCTATGTCTTGTTGTGAAATATTTTGTATTCATGTTGCAAATTGGATGTACACATTATTTATTTTTAAAATGTAATTTTTGGGTTGATTTTTCAGCTTGGAAATGTAATTTTTCTCTGGTGATTTTCTTTTTCGGTTTTCAATACGTAATTTTTCCATTTTCTCCTAATCGTTAAAGTTAAACTATAACTTATGAAATTTTGCAGGTTTGCATTTCTAACATTTCTCCGTGAGTAATCGTAAGTTAAATGTGACATGTTGGTTGTTGAGAGCTCAACCACACATTTGGGTTCTGTGGATGGCACCGCAATAGTCAACTAGTTACACATAGTATATTTTATGTAATAGGAAATTATTATATAAGGTCGAGACAATAGGACACGACGTGGTAACATATTATTTGAAATAATTTGTATTTTTTTCCGTTGGTTTGTTAATTATGTAATTTTGTAGTAGATTTTGGTTAAAAATAATTTGGTTATTTATTTTATTTTTGTTTTTGTTTTTAAATAAGAAACTTATAAACCATATTTGAAACTTAAATATTGTTAGAAGAGATTGTCGCTCCAGAGGAGAGATCACTGAGTATATTTGAAAGTGATAGAAACCTTGTACATTAGGGGAAGTTTCATGTTACAGGTGACATTGTCCATGACTGTTGCAAATGTGTCGTACAGGCCACACTTGTGTTTCTATATACTACACTATATGTCTAGAGGTATGACATGTGTCATGGCAGGTATTGCTAGGTAATTTTAGACACATTATTCGACGGGACGTCAAGGAGTCGGGATGACTTAGTTAGAACCATAGAAGGGTCATGTCTATGACGACCATTGTTATGTTCTCAATGGCGTACAACTCGCACGAGAGTGGGGTTGGGTTCATGTGGATCTCGGGCGGTTAATAGTCCACCCACAATATTATATAATAAGTCTTAACCTCTATGACTACAAAGTGTTAGGTAGTAGTGGCGTACTTGTGACATGTTGTGATACTATTGGTAACTTCATGGTTTAGTGTTGTCCTTGTATATGTACATGTCCCATAGGGATGTAAAGATACGTTGTTCTCATGTGACTGACTTTCATTAGGAAACATTTCAAATCTATGTTGATAGGAACTTTCATGACTGTATGTTGACAATAATTGGGGGAAGGAAGCAGGATATCCTGAAATGTACTGAACTGAATGTAGACACAATTCTGTCGACATCCCATACCCAGGTAGAGATACTTGACTCCAGACGTAGACATGGAACGTAGACGCCTGTCATCAGGAAGTATCTGTCCAAAAGGAGGGGTGGATGTCAGGGTTCGCCCTGCTATGGGACAGTTCAGGATGATGATGATGAATCTCGTCGTCGTACCCTGCGACCCTTAGTGAAACTCAGTACGTGTATACACACGTATAAGCGAGCATGAGCGAAGCGTAGCTTGGTCATTGACCAGCGGACCGCACGGGTGTGCAGAGTAGACTGCACATTTTGGACCGGACGCTGAACGCTTGCTTGGGGGACTGCTAGGAAACTGGACGTGGGACGAGAGTGGAGATTTTAGTGACCGTTTGTTTTGACTTGAAGATAGGTACCAGTGTAGTTATTAGCTGTAACGTGTTCTGTTCATAGTGTCATGTAAAGTAGTAGCTAGACTGTGGCAGTAGTTGTAACTAGAAGCCAGACCATGCTTTGTTGGTGGCGTTAACACTGTCGACGCACTTAGGCCTACACGTTCTATCTGTTGAAATATTTATGATCACTAAAATCCCGTTTTTCTGCTGTCTCTTTCCTCCATCTTGATCAATATCAGGCAACTTCTTTCTGATCTGCAATACAGCGCCCTCAGCATTTGCACTTCAGCTGTCTGTCTGTCTGTCTGTCTGTCTGTCTGTCTGTCTGTCTGTCTGTCTGTCTGTCTGTCTGTCTGTCCGTCCGTCCGTCCGTCCGTCCGTCCGTCCGTCCGTCCGTCCGTCCGTCCGTCCGTCCGTCCGTCCGTCCGTCCGTCCGTCCGTCCGTCCGTCCGTCCGTCTGTTTGTCTGTCTGTCTCTCTGTACGTATGTCTGTCTGTACGTATGTAGGTAGGTATGTAGGTAGGTAGGTAGGTGGTAGGTAGGTAGGTATGCGTATGTGTGTGCATGTGTATGTAAATAGGTAGGTAGGTATGCATACGTCCATGCATCCACCCTTGCCATCACAACAACTTTCTCCGACCTTCAGCACTGTCAAATAATGTCTGTTTCTCTCTTTGGCATACAATATGTCTCTGTCTGTCTGTCTTTCTGACTTTCTACAAACCTGCCACTTGTCTGTCTGCCCCTTTTGTTTCGTTTCATATTTTATCATCATACCTCAAACTAAACCTTCTCTAATTTCCTCTCACATAAACCACTTTCTAATCCCTTATCATATTTACCTCTTCGTTGTTAATACCTTCTCTTGTTTCCGTTCGCCCAAATCCCCCACATTAACAATAATTTCTGACTGTCTTTTCAAAATAACACTTCCATCTATTCTACAAATCCAACTTTTTTACCAGTCTAACACTTCTTTGATGTTTATTATGTTGTTTATAATGTGTAACAGATGCTCGCATATTTCATTGTCACGAGTTGTATTATTAATTAATGCGTTTGTCTGTCTCTCAAAATTAAATTAAATATATTTTCCGCAAGTCAGACAAATTATTTTGATTAAGTGAGCGGTGTTCTCGCTGCTTCTAATCCTGTGTCTGCTGCTTGTTGATGCACATGGGTGGCTATTTATGATTGATTGTGTTGCAATGATGATCCAAGATTCTTTGTTAAATCTGGGGTGTTCCCAGGAATAAAACAGTTTTCTTGTTGTTTCTGAAACCAGTCGTTTTTTCCTCTTCTTCTTCTTTTTCTTGTTCTTCTTGTTCTTCTTCTTCTTTGTCTTCTTCTTCTTCTTCTTCTTCTTCTCCTTCTTCTTCTTCTTCTTCTTCTTCTTCTTCTTCTTCTTCTTCTTCTTCTTCTTCTTCTTCTTCTTCTTCTTCTTCTTCTTCTTCTTCTTCTCCTCCTCTTCTTCTTCTTCTTCTTCTTCTTCTTCTTCTTCTTCTTCTTCTTCTTCTTCTTCTTCTTCTTCTTCTTCTTCTTCTTCTTCTTCTTCTTCTTCTTTTTCTTCTTTTTCAGCTTCTATTTCTTCTTCTGTTTCTTCTTCTTCGTCCTCTTCTTCTCTTGTTTCTTTCAAAACGGCAGTTGGCACAGTGTGTTGTGGTTTATAGCTAGGCTGCCGTGCATGCGCTGTGCTGCTCTTCCCATCCTATTTAAAATTCCCTGATTAGCCTGTACTGTACCCATGTGAGTGGGCAGTGAATCTATCCTTCCCATTTGCCCACTCTCAATTAGGGCCTCCAGAATTTAAACTGGAAAGAAATGGTATTTAAAAAAACAAATGTGTTTT